TTCATTGATTCTTTGTATTGTTTTCTTAGTCTCCATTAATTTCTGCTCTGATCTTTATAATTTCCTCTCTCGTGTGAGTTTTGGGCTTGAATTGCTCTTCTTCTTGAGGTTCAACATTAGGTTGTTTATTTGCACTTGCTTTGTTTTTCTGATATGCGAATTCACTGCTATAAATTTCCCTTGTAGAACTGCTTTCATTGTGTCCCATAAGTTCTGGTATGTTGTATTTGCATTATCATTTAATTGTAGAAACTGTCTAGTTTCTTCTTTAATTTTATCTGTGACCCATTGGTTGTTCAGGAGGGTGGGGTTTGTTTTGTTTTGTTTGAGGGAGGGTACCAGGGATTAAATTTGGGACCTTGTGCTTGTGAGGCAGGCGAGGCAGGCGCCAGAACCAGAGCTAAATCCCCAGCCCTTTGTTTGTTTGTTTGTTTGTTTTGGTACCAGGGATTGAACTCGGGTCCTTGCGCTTGTGCAGCAGGCAGCGAAACCACTGAGGTAAATCCCCGGCCTGTTTTGTTTTTTAATGGCAGGGTCTCACTATGTAGCCCAGGCTGGCCTGGAACTCACAGTGATTCTCATGCCTCGTACTCCCAAGTGTTGAGATTACAGCCATGCATTACCAGGTCTGGCCCTAGGAGGGTGTTATTGAATTTCCATGTGTTTATGAAGTTCTTGTGGTTTCTTTTGCCATTGATTTCCGATTTCACTGCATTATGGTCTGATAATATGCATGGGATAATTTCAATACCCTTGCATTTACTTAAGCATGTTCTATGAGCTAGTATGTGGTCTATTTTGGAGAATGTCCTGTGTGCAGCTGAAAAGAATGTGTATTCTGATATTGTGTGGTGGAACACTCTGTAGATATTTACTAAATCTATTTGTTCTAAAGTTTGGTTCAGTTCTGATATTTCTTTGTTGATTTTTTTTGGGGGGGGGTACCAGGGATCGAACTCGGGTCCTTGTGCTTGCGCAGCAGGCGGCAAAACCACTGAGCTAAATCCCAGGCCCTATAAATTTTTTTGAATTAAATATATTTCTTATATACACCATATTGTTGAATCTTGCTTTTTGATCCATTCGCCAATCTGTTTCTTTTGATTGTTGAATTGAGACCATTTACATTGATGATTATAACTGGTATGTATTGACTTATCCTTGTTATGTTTCCTGTTGTTGGTTCCCTTTTGTTCCTGTTTAGTTACTTGTCTTGCCTGGTGGATTCATTCTGTTGGGGTTCATGGAGTTGTAGTCCTTATCTCTTTCTAGAATGTCCTTCAGAACATGCTGGAGTGCTGGTCACGAATTTCTTCAGTTGTTGTCATGGAAGTATCTTATTCTCCACCCATTTTTTTTTTTCCAGTCCTGGGGATTGAACTCAGGACCTTGTGCTTGCCAGGCAGGTGGTGGCACCACTGAGCTAAATCCCTGGCCCCCTCTCTATCAATTTTGAAAGATAGTTTTGCAGGGTACATCACTCTGGATTGGAGGTTTTCTTTTTGGCCTTGAAATACTTCACTGCAAGATTTTCTTGACTTGAGGTTTTGTGTTGAGAAGTCTGCTGTAATTCTCATCGGCTTTCCTTTATAGGTGATTTTTTTCCCAACAGCTTTAAATATTGTTGTTAAAAAATTCTGTTGTGTTGAATTTCTGGAATCTTGACTATTATGTGTCTTGGCGTAGATTTTTTTGATAGTGGGGTAGGAGAATTTCAAATGCCCTAATATATGTGTAACTGTAATACTTGTAGATAGGGTAGGTGGAAATGATAGCTTAAATTTTTCCAAATTTAAAGAAAACTATAAACCAAACAGATCAAAGAGGCTCAGTAAACCTCATGTATAAGAAATACTAAGAAAGAGCTGGGTGTGGTCGTGTATGCTTATAATCTCAGCACTCAGGAGGCTGAGGCAGGATTGTCACAAGTTTAAGGACAATCTAGGCTACATAGTGAGTTCAAGGCCAGCCTGGACTACATACCAAGACCCTGTTTCAAAACAAGCAAAACTGCATAGCTGAGTGTTATAGTGCATGTCTGTGGTTCCAACTACTTGGGCAGCTGAGACAGGAGGATCAACTGGAGTTCAAGACCAGCTTAGACAGCACATCAAGACAGGAAGAGCCTACCTAGCTTGTGCTACATAGAGAGTTCAAGGCTACCCTGAACTACATAGTTCCCTGTGCCAAAATAAAAAATTAAGATTTTTTTTCCTATTCTTTAATACTTTTGGCTCTATTGTGGAACACCTGTTGGGAATGCCAAAACTAATAAACTCCATTTCCATAAGGAGCCTAGGATCCAATGCCAAAAACCAATCTTCAAGACCCAGACATGTATATATGTGAGTATGGCCACCTGAAAGAAAATACATATTGGGTGTGATGAATGCTTGTAATCCCAGCACTTGGGAGGCTGAGGCAGGAGGATCACTGATAGTTTGAGGTCACCCTCAGCTACATAGTGAAACCTTGTCTCAAAAAACAAAAGAAAAATACAGACTGTAGCAAGTTAGAAAGGCTAAGTATTAAAGTAATAAAACCAAAATACTGTATGCATATGTATTTATTCATTCTGTTTTTAGACTAAGTTGTCAAGTTGTTCAGGCTGGGCTTGAACTTTGTTTTTTTTGGTGCTGGGGATCGAGATCAGGACTTTGCACTTGCAAGGAAGGCTTGAACTTTTGATCCTTCTGCCTTAGCCTCCGAAGAGTGTGGGGATGACAGGTGTGCGCCACCACCAGATGTACCACTACCAACCAAACTGGCCAGATGTTTAAATATAGTATTTGCAGCTGATAGGTGGCATCACTCCTGTTGTATATAGATAAGGGCAAAAAAGTATGACAAGTACAGGGTATGCTACTATTTCAGAAAAAAACATAGGCAAAGGATTGCAAAACAAAACAGCTTGCTTTATAAATAGTTTTATGTATTTGGGAAGGCTAGCTCACGAAGAGAAGGATCAGAGATGTACAACTATTAAGTTTCTTTATAACATGCACTGAAATTTTCAACTTGTGTTTTTTTCTAGTACTGTCATCAGATAGTATGGTGGCAGTGGAAGGAGTCTTTGGAATCTATTCCAAATGTCTAGTACATAGACTTTTTTTTGGTGGCACTAGGAGTGAAGCCAGGGCCTTTCATATACTAAGCAAGAGTACTCTGCCACTGAGCTATATACACTTTTGGCAAATTGCTCAGGTTGCCCTTGAACTTGGGGTCCTTGTACCTTGTCCTTCTGAATAGCTGGCTGACAGGGATCTGGATGTGTTAAGGCACAACTGTAAACCCAGTACTTGGGAGGCTGAGACAGGAGGATCCTTGAGCGCTCAAGGCTGGCCTGGGCTACATACTGAGTTCAAGGTCATCCTGAACTAGATGGCAAGACCTTGTCTCAAAAAAAAAAAAAAAAGAAAAAAGGAGCAAACCTGGAAGAAAATAGCTGGGAGGCAGGGAATATTGTTTTGAATGAATGAATGGTTCAGAAATGCATACAGCCACACATGGGGACAAACTAAGAGCAAATTGTCGTATTTGGCTCTATCATCAGGCCATAATTTTTTGTTTTGGTATTGGAGATCGAACTCAGGACCTTGCGCTTTCAAGGCAGGAGGCAGAGCCACTGAGCTAAATCCCCACCCAGCCCATTAGGCTAGAATTTCTGCAAGAGCAGATGGTAGTGTCTTATTCTCCACTGGATCTTTAATGTTTTGCAAACTGTAGGAACTGAGGAATTTACTAAATTATTAATACTGATTCCAAATTGTTTTCATACTCTATTCCAATGAGAGATTTATATAAGGTTCAGTAGTAAGTTCCAGAGAGTTTCAGATTCATTAGGATTTTAGTTAAAACATTCCCTTTCCCCCATACCCTTGGTACTGGGGATTGATCCAGGGCCTTTGCATTTATCTAGGTCCCCAGCCCTTTTTACAGGTTTTTTTTTTGAGACAGGGTGTCACTATGTAGTCCAGGATGGCCTTGAACTCACAGCAATCTTTCTGCCTCTCAGCCTCCTGAGTGCTGGGATCATAGGCCTGTGCCACCGGGCCCAGAAATCTTTTCAACTAAAGGTGGTTTTGAAATAAATTCAGTTTTGGGTGAGGTTGGGTGAGTAGGGGGAAGAGACCAAGCATACAACTGAGTTCATCCAATAAGTCATAACTTTATTAGTGATAGAAACAGTACAAATTTCAAACCACACTGCCGTGACCTTTTTGAAACACCAAAAAAGTCTTCCTTTCAGATGGTTACATTGTTAGTTCCTGTAAGAGAAAAAAGATAATTAGAGGTGGTGAAATGGGAAAATTCAGGTCCTTAAAACCTTAGGCAACTTGAAATAGGCTTTGGAATGAGGCTTCCTAACTGGCTAATATTAGGCAGAGAAGATAAATTCACTTATGATTGGTCAGGTAAGAGGGTGCTGAGGAGTGAAGTCTTGGACACTTACCATAATAGCATTTACAATATCATTACTGTTGTTCTTCAGGGCTCGGACAGCCTTTGCCCTTGACACATTTGCTTGTGACATAACCAATTCTATGTCCTTAACTTCCACGCCTGTTTCATCAACCTAAAAGAGGAAAGGGGTTGGGGGAACCTTAATAAATCACAGATAAGAACCTCAGTAATTCTCTGAAGCCACAATCTTCTTGAATCTAGTTCTTAGTCTGAAAAGCCACATAACTCAATGAGGGCTGAGTACATAAAAAAATATAGGGCCGGGGATTTAGCTCAATGGTTCTGCCACCTGCCTCGCAAGCACAAGGACCCGAGTTCGATCCCCGGTACAGAAAAACAAAAAAACCAAAAAAACAAAAAAAAAAAAAGAGAAAAGTATAGAATCGAGCTGAGTGCAGTGGCACATGCCTATAATCCCAGCACTCTGGGAGACTGAGGCAGGAGGACCACAAGTTCAAAACCAGCTAGGGCAACTTAGGGAGATCCTTCTTAAAGTGCTGGGGAGGTGGCTTGGTGTGAAAGTTGTCTCCAATCCCCAGTATGGGGGGGTGGGGGGTGGATCTGCCATCACAGATTACTATTGCTAAACAGAAAAGATTAAAAGTAAAAAAGATTTCCTGGTGGTATACCTCTTCCTCTTCACTCTCCTCTTGTACAGTTGGAGTCTGTGTATTTTCTTGAATGTTCGAGACAGCTTCACCTTGAACTTTGAATTTCTCAGCAGCTGCTAACTGTGCTTGCTGAGATAAATCTTCAATCTAGAGAGCAGAGAATAGATTCATCATGGGAGATTAGTTTCCAGTAAAAGAAAGACAAGTCATATATACCTTTTAAAAATTCTCACTCTAAATCCATTTCAGATAACTTACTATGTATAATAAAATGTATGCCCTCACTCAGACTATCATAGAAAGAGAAGTAGCTTAGGTCTATGTTCTCAGCTTTGGGTAATTATGTCTCCATGGGTTATTTGGCAAAGTTTAAAGATTTTTTTGGTTATACTGGACACGAAGTGGCTAAAGATCTATAATGCACAGGATAGTGCTTCTACAATAAAGAATTATATAACCCAAAATGTCAATAGCGCTGGTCTAGAGCAGCTCCCAGGAGGAAAACCTTACTCACCTTAGCTTCCCCAAAAACTATGTAGGTATCTGAAGCTGGACTCTTATAGACATCTGGTTTTGTGATGACAAAAAGGATATTCTTAGATTTCCGGATAGTGACTCTAGTAACCCCCGTAACCTGCCGAAGACCCAATTTGGACATAGCCTAAAGAATACAGAAGAACATTAAGTTTCCAACTTTAGAAATAGCATCAGAAAACAAAACACAGTATTACTCTAAAGCAAACTTTTACTGGGTCAAGAAAACTTTATACAAATTAAGAACAGAAAATCAGCTTTCAGGACTCATGGGTTTTTTTTTTTTTTTTTTTTGCCATATTAACTTGTTACTGAACAGTATTCTCCTACTACCAAGAATGCAAGTGTACTACTCTAAAGTTGCTTCATCACAACCTCTAATCCTTTTAACTTTAAATTTTACCTTCCGTGCCTTCTTTTCACTCCGACTTTGTTTTGCTTTACTGACTGGTTCTTCATCGATTTCAGCTGCTGCAGCCAGCTAAAGATAAAACAGCTACGAGTTAAATGGAACCCAAGATCTAGATATCACCCCACTTCTATGAGGTTTTTCCAGGCCGGGGATTTAGCTCAGTGGTTCTGCTGCCTGCCTCGCAAGCGCAAGGACCTAAATTCGATCCTTGGTACCAAAATAAATAAATAAATAAAAAAGAAACCTAAAAATCTATGTGGTTTTCCTTTACCAAGATTTACAGTTCCAAACACAAAAGTCGGGCTTGATCAACTCTGGTTTTTCAGTGCTCACTTAACCCACATGTAGTACTTACAACGAACCATTTAGTAAAAGAATACCCACCTGGGCTTGTTGTGTGGTTGCTTGTGTGGAATCTTGCTCCTCCAGCTCTGGTACTGATTCATCACTGTCAGATTCTGTTCCAGACCCTAAGATGACAAACAACTTTTATAATTTTACAGTAGAGATTTAAGGAGGTGCTTACTATAGTTTGGACTAGAGATCACTGCTATATGCTAGGCCTTACAATGTTAAATGTAAATCAACTAATGTGTGAAGCCAGCTTGAAAACCCCTAGGACATATGTATCTATTAAAGATTCACCTCTAGAAATGAGGATAATCACTAGATATAGCTGAACATTTTTAGTATTACGATTGCTTTCTTTCCCTTGAGATCTTCATTTCTTGGCATAGGCATCCACAAAGCACCTATGGAACTCCAATAGCTCAATCATCTCAGAAAGGTTCTGGTAAAAGGTTATCTCCAGATACACAAGTGAAGAAACAATAAAGTGACAAGGCAGAACAGGCCAGAAACAGTTGTGTATACACATTTGGCCTTATTTTCAAAGCATTCACTCTAGTAATTTGATCTAATCAGTATCTCTGGAAGATCCTGAATGTCAAGTTCTAAAAGTCACTTTCTCTCTTTCTGTCCTGTAACTTCCCCCATTTCTTCCAAATGTAATTCATATTATGTTTCCCTTAATTGAAAGGCCAAGCATCACTAAAGACTACTCAGGAAAAAAGCATTTACCTGCACCATTCTCTATTAAAAAAACAGGTGTTATTTTTTTTTTGGTACCGGGGATCGAACTCAGGTCCTTGTGCTTGCACAGCAGGTGGTGAAACCACTGAGCTAAATCCCCGGCCCAAGGTGTCTATGTTTTAATGAAAGGGAAATCCCTGGGCAACTGGTCATTACTAAGTCTATGAAATAAAAACAAATAAAAATAGTCCCAGATTCCCTATATTTTTAGCAAATCCCAGGCCCAGGGACAAGGTTAGTGATGTGGTTAAGATTAGAGCAAATTAAAGGTTTAATAGGTCTTGGTTTTCAATATCAGAACAGTTAGGTAAAAAGGACAGCAGATCCATAGTTCTATAAGACACAACAAAATACTATCTGAGATAATGAAAACCAAGGTTTAATTTTGTATTCCTACAGCTCCTTGCATTTAAAATTATCATTCTATGTACCACGTCCAAACTCAAGCAGATATACTGGAGGAAGCGGCGCATCCTAGGGTTAGTACTGGTGGGTAGCCCCCAAGAGGGGTGTGGGCAACACACCATGCACACAGCAAACCAAGGCAAATACCCTTGTTGTTCTTCAAAACAGGCTGCTTGGCAGAGGGGGTTGGGGCAGGGATTCCAGCAGGTTTGGGGGTGGGCATGTTGACGAGGACCGACTGGAAAGGCATGCCCCCAGAAATCGGTTCCGGGGGAATCAGAGGTGGCAGCTCATCCTCATCAGCAGGGACTGGGGGCTTAGAGGGTGATTCCAGCACCAGACCAGGTGAGGGCGGCAGAAACTGTGGTTTAGGAAGCAGGGGGGGAACTGGGGTAGGAGCTAGAGGCAGGGAGCCTGGTGGGTTGGGTGCTGGACAGATAGATGCTGATCCAGCTTTAGGAAGGATCTTCTCAGAGGCCACTGCTGCTAGAGGGGTAGATGTCTCAGAGTCAGGAGAAGCACCCAAGGGACCCTTTGCAGAATGAGAAGAATCTTTGCCTTTTGCACAAGTATGGAGGGCTTTTGTAGTCTTTGAAGAATCTTTCTGAGTGGGGGCTGTCAGTAGAGGGCCTGGAGCCATGGTAGAACGGGATCTTTTATTATCATTCTTAGCAGAGGGATCTGAACACCTAGGAGGTAGAGTGGCAGAATTCTTGGCCCCTGTGCCTTTGTGAGCAGGAGCCTCAGTTACTGGTGCACTTACTGGAGCTGGGGCAACAAGTACTTCTTTCATATCTGTGGGGCCTTTCTTTTCTAGGATCCCTTCTGATGCCTGAGGGGCAATAACCCCCAAGGTACCTGTGACTGACACTGGGGAAATAGGGAAGCCTTTAGAGGAGGGAGAAGCAGTGACTGGAAAAATGGGAGCCTCTTTAGGGGATGGAGCCTCTTTGTGAGAGTCAAGAGTCATAGGTGGGGGAGTGGGGGCCTCTTTGGAGGATGGAATACCCAGGACCCCCTTTGAGGAGAGAGGGGTAGCATCTGAGGGAGTGGAGGCCCCTTTTTGGGCTGGAGCCTTTTTAGGAGAGTGAGGAGTAATAGCTGAAGAGAGAGTGCCTTTGGAAGGTGGGTTTGCTGGGGCCTCTATGAGGGAAGTGGGAGTCACAGCTGGGACAGACTGGGTCCCTTTGGAAGATGGGGTTGCTGGGGGATTTTTGGAGGCAGGAGTCATAATTTGGGGAGCAGGGCCCTCTTTGAGAGTTGTAGCTGCTGGGGCCTTTTTGGGGGAGGAAGGAGTCTTGGCTGGGGCAGGGGTACTCCCTTTGGTTGAGGGGGACTTTTTGGAAGCTGTGGTTTCTCTGATCTTTTGAGGGGAGGGAGGAGTCATAGCAGGGGTACTTGAGACCCCTTTGGAAGGTGAGGTTACTGAAGGCTTTTGGGGGGAGGGAGCAGCTTTGCCTGGGGGAGTAGGGTCTCCTTTGGAGAATGGAGTGGTTGGGGCCTCTTTGGGGGCTGCAGTTGCTGGGGTTTTTTGAGGGGAGGGAGGAGTCTCTGTTGTGGGATTGGGAGCCTCTTTGGGGGCTTCAGTTTCTAAGGCCTTTTTCAGGGAGGCAGGAGCCATAGCCAGGGAAATGGAGGCCCCCTTAGGGGATGGGGCTGCTGAGACTTCTTTGGGAACTGCAGTTGGGGCCTTTTTGAGGGAGAGGGGAGTGTCAGCTGGAAAAATAGAGACCCCTTTGGGAGGTGCAGTTGCTGGGACCTTTTTGGGAGGAGCCTTGGCTGGGGGAGTGGGGGCCTCTTTGGGGGATGGAGTCACTGGGGCCTTTTTTGGGGAAGGAGTCTTGGGTGGGGCACTGGGGCCCCCTTTGGACGATGGGATTGTTGGGGTCTCTTTGGAGGCTGCAGTTACTGGCACCTTTATAGGGGAGGGAGGAATTTCAGCCTGGAGAGTGGGGGTTCCTTTGGAAGAGGGGGTTGCTGGGGCCTTTTTTGGGGAAGGAGGAATCTCAGCTGGGTGAGTGGGGGTCCCTTTGGAAGAGGGGGTTGCTGGGGCCTCTCTGGAAGATGGGGTTGCCTTTTTGGAGGACAGGGGAATCTCAGTTGGGGGAGTGAGGACCCTTTTGGAGGATGGAGTTGCTGGAGTCTCTTTAGGGGCTGCAGTTGCTGGGGCCTTTTTGGGGGAGGGAGGAGTCTCAGCTGGGGGAGTGGGGACCCCTTTGGGAGATTGAGTTGCTGAAGTCTTCTT